TCGACTGGTGTTTCTTTCGGATTGGCTTCTTTATTTTCATTTTTTTTTCTTCTCGTGTTCCCGCACCATCAGCTGCTGGATCACTGTCGCCAGGCATTTGTGTACGTTTAAGTTTTGTTTGATTCGCTGCTTCCTCTACACCAGAAGATATAATTGGCGGCTCCTCACCGCCTGCTGACATCCCCTCTGTGGCGTCGGCATCATCTTCTTTGATTTTCTCCTCCTCCTTCTCCTTATCTTTTTTGTCTTCTTTCGTCTCACTCTCTTCTTTCTTCGCATCATCGTCACCTTCATGTATTTCTTCCACTTCATATTCCTCTTCCTCTTCTTCATCATCCTCCTAGCCATTTTCTTTCTTTTCTTGCATTTCTAATGCTTGTTTCCCGTGTTGTTTTGTCGCTGGTACGTCTGTTCCCGCTGCCGCTACCATTATGTCTGTGACCGATTCTGCCGATAATTGTGACTTTGCCGTCGCACCGGACTTGACACCTCCTCCAGCAACACCAGTGGTCTCTTTTTCATTTTTAGGAGTATTGCGGTCTTCGGACTGCGTACCCGGAAGATCTTGAGTTGGTTCAGAACATCCACCACCGCAGGCACCGCACCACAGCACGCAGAGGGCACACACCAGCAGCACACGGCCAGTCATCATCATCACGGCTGCACACACAGTCTAGGGAGGGACAAAGAGAGGAGGAGGAGAAGAACACACACACATCAGCAGCATGGAAAAGGAGGAGCAGCGTTTGCATGAGGGTTGTTGTCATGGGCATGGGGGATGCGTGCACGCAGGAAGAACAGGCAACAATGAAACACCGGACAGCACGGCACACAACTCCACGGCATGTAAAACCCACCCGCAGCTGCCCCCAAAGTAGACGGGAAAGAGGGCGCAACAGTACGGCAAGAACACAGTGATGCCGGTGCAGAAAAGGATCCCGAAACGGCGTGAAAAAGAAACAAAAAACAGTCTTCCCCCACAGCGGCCACATCCAACAACGCAAGCAATAATAACAGAAACAAACACCACACACGGCAACTCACAGCGGCAGCGAGTTCCCTGTCGCCAACCTTCATGGCTGCACGCTACCGCACTCCTCGTGAGTCCATCGCTCCGCCGCCTTCTTCCTTCCCGCGGCTCCCCCGCACGAACAGCCACGGCACACAATCGGGTCCATCCGCACCCGTCGCCACGCCGCCCTCAACGACCCAACAGTCAACCGCCCAAAAACCGTTGCGGAAATCACACACCCGCAACAAAGCACGCGACGCAACATCGTCTCACGTGGACCCCGCCGTCAGAAGAACGTCATGTCAACCGTTTGGCCGGCACACGGTACAATCAATCAACAGAACAGAGAAGTAAGACAG